GTTATCGGAACCGTGAAATTACTGCTTTTAAAGATTCTGTATTCGATCACACTGAGAAAAAATCCCAGCAATTAATTGAAAATGTTTTAAACAGAATTAAAATTGATAGCCGTGTTTTACAAAGATTCCACTGTTTTTTTATGGTAAGATTGTAGTTTTGATGGAAAGTTTTGCTAAAAATTTTCTAAATTGTATTTACAGGTATTTAAGTGGAGAGGAAGGAGAGAAAAAGAGAAAGGAGGGTAGGGAAGGGATAAAATTTGAGGGCCGAAACTTAGGCCTCCCCTGAGCGACCGTCCCCTTTCCGACATTTCCACCTCTGGGCACCCCCAAGAATGAAGGTCTAGAACCGCCTATGGGTGCGACCATTATAAAAATGAATATTCAAGACATCAGGGAGTATGACGTAATGATGATTTACATCCATTACTCGTACCATGCGTTTATTGTGGACTTTAAAAGAGCCAGGTGAAACTAACAATCCTCGGATCCCGATTGCGAAGTTTGAAACTTCCGCTCATATTTTATTTTTCATAATAATATTAATCGTCAGTTTTGTGCAACGTTTTCCATGCAAAATTAATGATCAGATCCTCTTTTTAAAAATGGAATATGACACTTCATTTGCAACGTCACAAACCGAAATGCATTGTTTGATGGTTTCATCATCAATTCGTTGCTATTCTATTTGATTTGACCATCGAAACACGATTCTATGACTCAACAACCAATCAATGAAAGCGACGTGGGAATAGCACAGAAACAGCAGAACTACTGAACAACATTTTGCGGGAAGGGACCGCTATTTTCGGCTCATTCGAGAAACAACATATCTGACATTAGTTTCCCTATGCAGAAAAGGTTTTATGGATGATCTAGAGATAGCAATTCTTCATTGCAAAATGTAGTCACACTACGATCGGGTTTATTGGTTCTCCCAAACGGCGGAGGTGTCTTCTTCAGAAGCTGTAAGCACAAGTTCCGTTAAAGTGCTTGCCAAAATAGGCTACCTCATGTTATAGGTCACCGCGCGCGAGATGCTCAAAAAAGTATGGTAACATCTACCAGGGCCGGATTAAGGGGATGGCCACATGGGCCGCGGCCCATAGCGGCAAAATGTAGGGGGCGGCAAATTTTGGAATTATTTGAATGTAGGTATCAAAAAAAGAAAGAAAAACAAGCAGTGAACTCCAACACAATGTGTTGATAAGGCGCGTCATTAACTCGCACATATCAACCCCTTTAGTTTTCATTTACAGAGATTTCAAAATAGGCAAACAGCATAAAAAGAGAATTCACGATCCAACACTGCGAGGTCAAAGACGCACCTTGACGAGACCGTGTATTGTGAAAGTAGAAAGCTATTCGATCGAATTTAAGTTTTTTGATCTGCCTCAAGCAAAATCTTATCAGATTCTTGAAGAAAAGTGCTACGGAATAATTTAAGCGAAGAAAGGAAAAATTCTGTCGAACTCCTAGAAGATAAAGTCGATTTAAAGGTATTTTGGGGCTAAAATACCCAAATCACCGGTAGTAAAAATCCCGTTATATTATTGAAAAGAAATTGACTCGATATAAATGCAATTGCATTAAATACGTCTTGATTTTGTTATTTTAAACGTCTTTCCATGCAAAGAAGTTCAACCATGTCGTTGCTTTATTCATTCATGAATTGAAAGTAAGCAATCTACATCCCGAAAATCTACTGATTTGCCGTAAAAAATTGCAGAAACTTGATATACCAGGTCGATGCACCCACTCGTTGAATTTACCAACCAATTTTGTGAGTGCAAATGTGTAAGAATCAATATGCTATAGTCATTTTGGGTGCATTTATTTTTCATGAAACAATAATAATTTCAATCCCGAAAAACCATCAATTTTCCGTATAAAATCGAAAAAATCAAAATATGTCAACTCCCCGACGTGAAAATTAGATTCTACGTATGTAAAATGTAAATACTTATGTATCGATATGCTGAACAGAACTATGTGTGGACAGTCAGAAGCCCGCGGCAACATTAATTCAACAGAAAAACTGTAAAAATTAGATAGGATTTTAGCCGCTTTGCCCGCCTCTCCTCGCTACTTACAACAAACCGTTCTTATACTCATCTCAAAATTTTTCTCAGAGCTTTGGGTTATTATCAGCTTCCATTTAAACTCCGGTTCGATGGCCGAATCGGCTGCCAAAAAAGCAAGCCACTGTTGAGGGGTTCTATGAGAAATTCGTGATATTATCGGCTCTCAGGAAATCACCCCATGGCTAAAATTGGTGGTATAAATGTTTAAGTGCTTAAAATAATCGTATTCAAGAAACTAAGGAATTAAACTATGGAGTCAATTTCTTTTTAATAATATAACGAATTTACTACCGGTGATTTAGCTATTATAGCCCCAGAATACTTTTAAAGCGCCTTTGCGTTCCAGAATCTCGACGGAATTTTTTTTTTTTTTTTTTTTGCTTAAACGATTCAAGAAACATTGTAGTTAAAAATATAAAGATTTTTCGATTTGGACGTATGAAAAATGTTTAACTCGTTCAGGCACACCGTGTATTGTATGGAGTACTGCTGTTATTCGACCGTTGTCTTCAGGTCAAAATTCTTACAAAGAAGCCCCTTGCAAGAGGCAAATTTTTTGTAATTTCTCCCAGTTTTTTCAGCGTTAGGTATATAAATGAATTGTTTGTCAAATTTTGAGGTCAATTATATTTAATTGTAATTTATACTTTCTTTTTTTCCCCTTCATTTTATTTTTCGTATCGAGGAGTCGAGGTTTTGTTGATTTCTTCGGATTTCGATTACTGTAACTTCTCTTCTATTCGGCCGATTTTTATGAATGAGGTCTCTTTTTATTTGTGTTTTAACGGAGAGTAAGGAAAAAATTGCTAAATACATGCGAAACAATTTTTTTTGAAAATTGGATGAATCCTAGCGTGACGGTGAAATGGTTAATGAAGCGTGAGTAATTGGGGTACGGGTATCGGCCGCGTTGGGACCCAAGGCCCATTGTTCTTCGTGACGCCGACGCAGTGATCAGGAGCGTGGGGACGAGAGGGCTTAGTGGACTCCTGTATGAGCCACGTTTAGCAAATGGTCTAATGAGTCTCGAGGCTCATCACAGATTGCACTTACCACTATCCTGGTGGCCCCGGCTATCAGAGCAAGGAGTACCAACTTTTGAAAAGGATAACAGTGTTGTGGAGATATGTCAAAGCAACGTTGTGAACAAAACGGAGTGAGTGAAATTCTCATTCAAGGAGTGCCGAACTGGTCAGCCATCCTCGAATCAGTTCGCTTGCTTCCGCTTATATATGCATATTTTAAATCAGCGCGCCCCATTCTAAGGTTTTTTTAAAAAAAACCAAGAAACGTAGACTCTTGGTATTCATTACACATAAACTAGCGAGCCCCAGAATGAGAAACAAATTTTAATCATTATTATTGACGGATTAGTAAACTTTTTACACGCTTTGGAAAATCTCAGAAGTTCGCGGTAGTCACTTTTCGGTAAGGAACTAGGGGACTCGGTTATTGTATCGAGGGGGGGGGTCGAAACGATCGCAAAGGCGGTATACTACGTATACGCGCCAAAATCGGATTCAGAAAATAAATTACAAACGAGAAAACGCGACAAAATCTCTCATTTCCTGAGATTAAAAGTACAGTAATTTCTAATTTTGTCGTCTTTCGGTGATACAAGAGACAACACATTTAATTAGTCGAGTTAAGAGAGAAACCAAACATGCAATTTGACCTGGAACGGAGCAGCGCGACGCGGCGGTCGGCGTGAAACGCATAGCGCCTACAAGACTGCATGAATACTTCACGCATTGCGCCAACACAGTGCGGTCGGCGCGGCGGGGGAAGTTAAAATTTTTAACCACATTTATGTTTGTTCTTTCATAATTTTTTCGTTCGTTTTTTATAAGTGGAAGACCTTGTTCAAACAGGGATGGGTTTACGGAACTGAACTCTTGTTAGCGCTGACAAGGCTTTCACAAAAAATGTGCCCAACACGAGTAAACACGTCTCATACACCCTTCCCCCACCGGCACGTTCACTTGATGGTTTTTATAGATCGTATTCAACAGATCACTCGGGTGAGATTATATTGATATCGATTGGTTCAATATGTAACCACAGCCTCAAAAGTCAATTTAGAAATCTGAGGTAACGGGTCTCATGTGATCGAATTTTTATTCTCTCCAGTACCAAATGGCAATGAAAAGTGAGATTGTCAGGGATTTTCTCATTTTCAGCTTTTCTAAATTAAATCTTAAAACGTTTGTTTGAGCTTATGTTCTTTTGAACCAAACGATACATCGAACCACTGTCGAATACGATCTATTGATATTTCAAAAGAAATGAGAAGGGGGCGGAAAAATACAAGCGGCCCATGGGCGGCAAGTAGGTAAATCCGGCCCTGACATCTACTAAGATTCTACTTGATTTTTTACACAGTGATACTATTTAGTGAAAATAACCAGAATTTTAGTAGTATTCACCAGAATTCTGCTGATACATACCACAATATGGTAAATGCTGCCATAGAATAGGGTGTTTATTACCATACTCGTATCATTGTGTCTGCAGAGTACGGTAAAATCTACCATATTTTTTTCAGTGATCTGCCGGGCTCGGGAACCAAACAAAACAGTGCCTTGAAACTTTCTGTAGAGAGGGTCTAATGAGTGTATTCGCAAATTTTTCAAGTCAAAGGGATGATTACTTCCATGTTAAAAAAATGTAACATGAAAGTAAATCAGGCGACGCCTGACATAGTTACGCTGATTCTAGGTTCCGTTCAATTATACTTGAGATGGATCACATGGTTCCCGATGAAATTTTACACAGAACAGAGCGGGAACATGCAGCCTTTTCAATTTTCTAGAAAGTCATGTTGACGTGAGGGGGGGGGCGAATTTTCTTTCAAAACGCTAAAACAAATCCCGAGATTAGATGTCACCTAGTCAACCGCTCGCACCTTTTTTGCAGATCCTCGGTTAAAAGGTTGGCCTCTTTGCGGCCACTTATGGATACCAATAGGAATCGTCTCACTTTACAACTACTTCGTCCTGAAATGGGGACCCGAATTCATGGAGAAGAGGAAGCCATTCAACGTTGACAGGATAATGATCGTTTACAATATAATACAAATTGTGCTTTGCAGTTGGGTCACAATCGAGGTAAGTGAGCCCCACATGGAGTTGTTCTATCTTTCAGTCAATGATGAATATCGAATCCACAAAACAAAACAAAAATGTCATGTCACTCAGAGAAATCTCTGCGTCACTTAGAGAATGTATTATGAAATCAAATTATTTAATCACAATTTAAAACATTTCATCAACGCCTTTTTCAGGACACCAAGACACTTAAATGAAAAAGCTTTCATAGTGACGGGAAATTAGACTTTTCATAATGACAAGTACTTTCTCAGCTCCCTTTTCATTAAATCACTCTTTATTCACCCATTTCTCTGAGGGCCAATGCATTATTGCCAAGATATGTCGCATCTTCCGAAATTAAACCAAACAAACATATACCTACTCACTTATACAACAACTCGAATGCATTTTGAGGTTCTTCAATCATTCCCGTTCACGGGGGAAGATAGCCATGAAATATCACTAAAAAAGTTAGACATCTAAAGAAAACTTTGCTTCGTTTCAATTTATAGGCGTTCAAGATGATAGCATGGAGCGGTGATTTCAACTGGATGTGCGAACCTATAGATTATGGTGATAACCCGAAGACCCGGAGGGTAAGAAAAATAAAATACTTATATCCTTTCTTAACACTTTTTTACACGTAGTGGATACATGATCTGCATTTTACACCGTCAAGTGCTCGGTGTTTCTCAGTGAGCATCGCAAATTGCATGCGAATGTTTTGAAGGGGCTCCTACACTATCTTTCGAGCAAGTCTGCAAGAGCAGTTTTCATAGTAGCAGTTTTGAACTCACAACGAGCAATTGTTTAAGTGCTTTTGGACGAAGAAATAAAGAGTAGACTCTATTCCTGTACAGCCAATGAGCTGAAATTTTCCGAAAATGATCATTAGTATTAAGTGTAATTTCCAAGATTCTAACTGACTGAGAGCGCGAAGTAACCCGTAAGCTATTTGATTGCCCTGCTGCATGCAAAAATGCCCCTTAATAAATTAATCGGCCAAAGGCCCTTTAAGGCTTATATATCCATCCATGCATCACATTAACTAAATTTTTGTCTGTCCTTGATATTTAGATAATACGGATGGTATGGGTCTATTACATGCTTAAAATTCTGGATCTACTGGACACAGTGAGTGAATTTTTACGACCATTATTTTTACAATTCTTATAATTTTCGCAAAATAGTAGCCAAGAGTTGTTCATTTTTCGTGAATTATTTTATGGAAAAAAATAATAGAACCTATAAAATAAATGCTACAAAAGAAAACTGGAGCAAACAAATTTTGGGTTTTGCACCCTCTCATATATATTTGACGTAGAAATGACATTCAATAAAATGAAGCGCGATAAATAAAGTAGACCGATTTAAGGGGTTTTAAATACATGGGGAGGGATTGTCGGTGCTGCCCTTTTGTAATATAAAGAATGTTTGAACGTTTAGCGTGATGGGAGAGGACGTGTGTCAAGAAATATTTGTGTAAGCCACGCAATTTAGGCATGAAATTAAGGTGTGGAGTACATAGTGATAGATAAAGTGAATATGCATATCGAAGAAAACCCATTTTTTAAGTGGAATCGCATCTTCTGCTATCATTTTAAGTATACTTTGCTTCTGAACAGGTTTTCATTATTCTGCGGAAGAAATTCAACCAAGCATCGTTCCTTCATATTTACCATCACTCAGGAATGGTTGGGCTCGGATACGTTGGCACCAATTTCATAGCAGGTTAGCGTAAACGTCTGTTGGTTCAAATTCATTAATAAATTTGAAAGGAGAATAATTTTATCCTCCAAAAGTTCAATAGAGGATTTGATGACTTCATCATTATCGGAAAGTGTTCGATAGTGTTGCTGCGATAGCAAGGAGAGCCGTAATTCTAAAATTTTCTGGGTCAAACCTTCAAAATTCGTCTTATCTCTTCTGGATGAAGTCACTAAAATAGATAAGCAGCACATTTCATCTTATTTATATAAAAACAAGACATGTGAGGAAGCCATAAGTGCGCAAAAATTGACGTAGTTATATACGGAACGGCCGCAACAGACGAAACGGAGGAGCAATATTCTTCTAGACATGCAATGAAAATAGTTCTTATAAATAAAATGCCGCCCTTTTCTACCTGAAAATGTGTTTGTTGTGAGTCAAAAACACAACCACTAAAAGCATGCAGAATATAGCACGTACGGTTGTCTCGCCGAAGTCTATAGCCTAACTTGAAAATGAATTATACCTTTTTTATGTAATTGAAATAAAATGCGTCGATTTTCATTCATCATCATCCAAAGGATTTCGAAGAGTCTTTCGGATGATTGGTGGCGCTTCGACAAAGAACCGAGGTTTCTTTCAATGAAATTTTCTCCTCAGACGCTATAGCGAGTCCATCCTCTCAAAACTTCATCTTTGCCCTCACGTCGCCATCACGTTAGGGTAGGATTCAATGTTTGTGAGAGGTAACTCTACCAGACAACTTTTGAAAACGAAAGTTAACCTTCCTGCCGGGCTAAACTTGTACCCAGAATAATACAAATAGTATAGAATTGCAATTTACTAACTGCTACCCTGTCATAATGAGATAGCTTACAAAAGTTCACAGAGTTTTCTTCCCTGTTAACGAGGCGGATAGGTCGCCTAAAATACCCTTTGTATGCTGTGAGCTTCTTCAGCAACATCTAGAATCATGTAAAAATTTCAATTGATGATTCCTCAACCATTCGAACTATTTTCTATATATTCAGAACCTGAATGCTTTATACATTTAACTAAGATAGTGGAAACTAATGCCTTTACTTTATTTTAGGGGGCCATGGAATGAGTTTAGGTCTGCTCAACAACTTCGTACACGCTGTCATGTACTCGTACTACCTCCTTTCAGCCTTAAGACCTGAATACAAGAGGTCGAATTGGATGAAGAAAAAAGTCACACAACTGCAAATGGTATGATCCTTAGAATTTTAGTTGAACCTATTCTGCGGATATGGGTGTTTCCTTCGAAAATGTTAATCCACGCAAGGAAAACAAGAAAATTAACTGACTTGACTGTTTTGCCTCAAATGACACTAAAAAATATTAATCTTTGCTTCGAGAGTTATGTCTTAGTACGCACTGATAGTGACACTGCAGACATGCGTTTCTCAGTTTGCGATGTTGCAGACTTCCTGTCATTGCTTTATTTTTCTTCTTCTTCTTCTACCTTCTGACTAGGGCCGTGACCCTGTTTGTCTAGCCTCTAAATTAGTATGTAAATATGAAATAACATATGATGGCGATGAGAGAGGCGATTCTCCGGAGATGAAAGGCAGCTCTGTGCCCATCTCTTGGGCGGTCGTCCGGGTTGCCTTTGGCTATGAGGTCGTCCTACCATACAAATCTTGGCAAGCCTTTCCCCGTCCAAGCTCTCGATATGTTCCGACCACATTTTCCGGCGCATCTTGGTCCATTTGGCAATATTTTACTTTTACTTTATTTTCTAAAGGAAAACTACTGAATCGTCATTTGTTGAATATTTCACCTCTTTTAGTAGAATATTCTGTGAAAACTTCAAACCTCGATTTTGGTGCAGTTTCGGAGGAAAGAAAATAGGAGCGGAGATTTCGGAACACCGCAACCAATTTACTCATTTTTGCAATTTCACCAACGATATATAACAGCCGTTTTTACAGCGCAGCCTCGCGCTCTGCGACACCCAGTCTGCATTGTCCCTTATACTCCCACAGATCCATTGTCCCTTACCCTCCCACAGATCGTCAAGCGTCTTTGTCACTTTTCAGAAATGCATCATGGCGATTTTCTTATCATCGAGCCCCTCTTGTGAGAGTCATCCACAGTTTTGTCCTTTAATGTGATATTCCAGTGAAATCGCCAATGATAACCATGCGCAATGATAACACCGGTTCTTTGACCCAGATGACTAACCGGGTCTACGGGGCCCGACGGTTTTTTACTTTTCGCACCACATTGGCTGTAATTGACCGAAAAGTCTGTCCTTCACAAATAGCTCTACATAAACCCTTAAAAACATAATTCTTAAAAAAAAAAATTTGAAATTTTATTTTGAAATTTTTTTTTAGACAGCAATTTTTGTTTCACGTCCACCCCTAGAATGACTAACCGAGGCCTGCGAGGCCCGTATTGAGGCAAATGTAGGTTATTAAAGTGAATTATAAGATAAACATGGGACTAAATTGCTTGTCAAGTTTTTAATGGTTTCTCTAAGGTTTTGCTGTAGTTGTTTTAGCTGAGAAGTGGTTATGGAGGTAATATACTGTCTGAGAGTCAAAGCACCGTGCTATATTTTCATACAACTAACAGGTAACCCCTTTACATACTCACCGCGCGTATCACAAGAAGCATCCCTGGTAAAAATTGGCAATAGGAGCTGCGTTTCAAAATACCATAGGAGTTCTTAAAGCCGACTAAAGAGGGCTATTGAAAATCATATAGCTGGCTGTAGAAAGCGGAGCAAATCATATAGCCGGGCTATACGAAGCTATAAAAAAGTATACAGTCGGGCTATAGTTGCGATCGCCGGGATTTACACTTTATCGCCATTGGCTATAAAAGGCTATAAGAAATTGTGTAGAAATTCGTGTGCTTTGGAAATCATTGAGTTTGATACGGAATTACCTTAATATTTACAAAACACACATTATATTTTCCTTTAAAACATTTTTTTATTAATCAATTAAAATGAGAATAATCCATACAGAGTGTGCAAACATTTCAAAATCATGAGTTGAAAAACGCTGACTCCGCGAGACTAAATATTACAGCCTAACACAAGGCGGAGCGGCGACGCACTGGCGCCTACAAACCTAACAGGGATACTTCACGCATTGCGCAATGCGTGAAGTATCCCTGTTAGGTTTGAAGGCGCCAATGCGCGTTTCGCACTCTCAGCCCGCCCGCCGCGCCGCAGCGTGCCACGGCGTCTGAAGCAACTATTCCACGCCAGATGTATTGCACAGTATCATAAGAAATTGAAGGCGCTCCTACATATTAAGAATGACAGGCATCCTTCAAAAGTACGGAGCTTTCCTCGCAAAATAAATCAAGATACTACGGCACAAAAAGAGAGCGGTAGTTCAAAAACTAACTAAGTCCTAGTATCCGTATTTCGTAACGTTTAGCATAAAATTTATCGTCTGGCTGTTGCTTAATCACCATCGGCTATAAAAGGCTAAAAGAAATTGTACAGCCGGCTACAGAAGCTATTGGAAATCTTACAGCCGGCTTTAGGTCTATGGTATTTTGGAACACAGATTCTACTGCCAATTTTTACCAGGAATTAGATGCTTTTTAGGTGCTTCTTGTGATAGGTAAATATATAAAGGCGTTACCTTTTGATTGTGAGAAAATATCGTAACTTCACAAAACACTTACAAAACGATGGCATTTTTTTCATATTTTTTGTGAAAGTGGAAGGGCTGGTGAAATGGACCTAAGAAAAGGACATTGCGGAGCAAAATTGAATGTTTTAAATGAATGACTTATAATTAAATTACTTTCTCCTTCTGTTTCAGATTCAGTTCTTCATGTTGATACTGCATTTCAGTTTGCCATTCTTTCAACCGAACTGCAATTACCCTCTCTGGATTTGTTTCATTATACTACCCCAGTACTCCTTCATGCTGGTGCTGTTCGCAGACTTTTACCGAAAAGCTTACGGCAAGAAAGTTGAGCCAGCAAAAACTCAGTAGTTGATGGGGCTCGTCAAATATTCACAAATATGTACAGCACAGGTTACCTTCTCGTACTTAAGCTTAAATATAAGAGGAAAATAGTCTCAATTTCGATTTTCATCACGGTTCACAGGTGAAGATTTGAATGAATATATAAATCAGCGGTTAAGATCGCATGAGCTTCAGAGATTTAAAAGATTTGTTTTTCGTAACTTGATAGATATTCAAAAAAGTTCCAGAAATATGTTTTTATGCTCAATTAAAGTCTAAAAAATCAAATTCACCAATTTTCCTCTCACTCTGACATAATCACATTTGATCCGCTAAAATCGAAGTGATGATTGAGATAAATATTTCAATCCTGAACCAAGTATCTAGAGATGCTTTTCCTTAGAATAATTTTAGAGTGACTTTTTTATAGAGATACTGTAGCTACTATTATTCTTGTTTTTACATATTAAACATTGTACAGCTTTAGTTAAAAGTTAAGCTTTAGTGTGTGCATCTTTGTTTGAATTTAAGCTTATTTACTATTGTTGATTTTTATTATTAGAATTTCATTCGATACTCCAAATGATAGATCTAATAATTAGGACACATTTCAGAATGATTTACAGAGAGCTATGTAAACTTTAATTTCGTACAAAGCGCAGTTTGCAAATTTCCCTTGTATGAAAACAGTAAAACAAAAGATTAATGCTCCACGGATAGTAGATGGTTGATTTTGTTGGTTTTTATGGGGAAAATCGCTTGAAGGGCCACGAGAGGGGGGGTGGGAGGAAAAATCACTGAAAATTGCAATAGTGTGGCGCCTCACTTTTGAGCCATTCGAGTGCAGTAAAATGTCCTGAAAATCTCATAATATCAATTACATATTTCACTTTTGGTCGTGCCCTTTAGTTTCTTTTTAAAAAATTATAGAAAATGTTGAGTGTCAAGTCTAGCCAAGGCAAATTGAGGGCAGCCGTTGAAGACTCTTTTCGATGCATTTTTAAGTAAACAGGTGAAAAATGTGTGGGATCCTTCAAAGTATTTGCCTCTTAAAAATGAATAAAATCAACCGTCCTCTAGCCGTGGAGCATTGATTTATTCATATAGATGGACACCCTCTCGCTCTCGTGTTGATGCTACTGTCTATCCTCTCTCCCCCTCCAGGCCTACCACTCGCTTGCATTAAAATATAAAAAAACTAGGAAAAAAAGAGGTTATAAAAGACAACGAAGGGTAATAAAATAAAAGTAAGGAAAAAAACAAAGTTAAAAAAAGGAAGTCGAGGACTAAATTGAAGTAAAAAAGTAAGAAGGTAGTAGTAGTAAAATAATTTTATTTTAAAGCGGTGCTTTAGCATCTAAGGCCATTTACACCTCTAAAGAGGGCAGTAACAATAATAAATTTACATGGAAATATCAGTAAAAATACAAAAGGGTTGAGGGGAAAGGTTAAATTTTGAGATTAGTGGAGCGCATAAATTCAAAAAGTTTCACAGGATGAGTATTCAGAAGTAAATTTTTAAGAGAGGGTAAGGGGTAGGGAAAAAAACGTTTTCGGATATCTTTATAAAGTGGGCAACTTATAAGAACGTGATCTACCGTTAAGGGGGAATTTGGACAAGAAGTGCAAGCAGGACGGTTTGATTGGGTCATCAAAAAGCTATGGGAAAAATTTGTGTGACCAATTCTCAGTCTAGTTTGAACTAAGTAAGAAGGAGTCGATGAAGAAGATGCAGTAAAAAAATATGATGAAGAATAAGATGAAATTAAGAGGAAAAATGAAATGAGGCTTAAAAAAAAATACAGTGAAACATAAAGTAAAGTAAGGTAAAAAAAAAATGAAGTAACGAAGTAATAAGTAAATAATTAAGGAAAATTAGTATTGAAGTTAAGAAAAAACAGAGTAAGTAAAGAAATAAAAAGAAGTAAAAAATACAATTTTCAAAAAAATAAAGTAAAAAAAAGTATAAAGTAAAAAATAAAAGAAATGAAGAACAAATCTATGTATGTAGGTTGAAAATATCCTACCTAGACAGAAATTTCAACACAAAAGTTTGGTTAACACTGTAAGTAAACCACGAAATAACGCATGCTCGCGCTTGTACTGATTTCCACTCCATATATTTTACCAGTGTTTTCCTGCGTATGGCAGGATGGGCTCAAGACAACTTTAAGTGAAAATTGAGCGATGACGTCACACCCAAAAAGAAAAAAGCTCTCAGGGCCGCCGGTCCTATCATAGCTCTCAAAAACTTTGAGCTTAAATTTTTTGTGCTGATTTAACAAATTTTACCAAACAATCAGCGAGAATCAATCAGATTTTGAGCGATGATATGCATCACCAGTGCTTTTTCACCTCTTAGCGTGCCTTGAACCGAAGACACGTGGATACGACACCTGTTAGTCAAAGGGGGAAAAACAGCTATCGAGAAAAAAATCAAATAGATAGAAAAAAATACTTTAAATAAATTATGAGTTATAGCTCTACAATCTTTATAGATGCGTCTTTCCCTATCAACGAACAACGGCACAAACGTGTGTATAGTTCTCGCGTTCACCCTAGGTAAAAACGAGATGAAAAAAATAGGCAAACAAAAAAGAGAAAAACGGGACTAAAGTTTTATGCAACTGCAGGATGCTTGCTGTGAAAGAATGGCCAAAGATGACCCAAATCGCGCATCAAAAAATCCGATTTATTGTCCAACACGCATTAATTTTGATTGAATTTAGGAGCAACTTCACATCGAAGCAACGTTTTGGGGCGTTTCTTGAACTCTCAATTCCTGCTACCGTTTAAACTCATAGGGTACTTTAGTGTCGTTTCGAGAATGGTTTTGATTTAGCGCTAAACCAAGTAAAAGAAGAAGAAAAAACATGCACACAAATCAATATTCATAATAAAATAGTTTTTCCCGAAGCCTTTCACTAAATTGTGTGGGAGGGAGTATAAATACTGTCCACACTCTCATCCTAGACTCAAATTCGTTCATTTTTCCGAAGTTCTCTCGTTTTTCTGTAAGTGTTAGAATTCTTTCCTATTATCATTTGTGCTCTCAGTGGCTCCACACTTTGAGAAAAATCTATAGTTAATACTACTAGCTACGTCAGTGATGTTCCATGTGAGCTCTTAATTGGTAAAAGCCGTAACCCATTTCGCACTTCTGAAGTTCTCCCATTTTTCTGTAAGTATACCAATTAAGTGTTAGCAGTACTGCTTATTTTCATTTTTGCTCTCAACGACTCCACACTTTGAGGAAAATACATAGTTAAAATTACTACCTATGTCAGTGGTGTTCCGCGTGAGCTCTTCGTAGAAGCCGCAACTCATTACAAGCATGTGTTAACTGTAATAGTAAATATACCGCAACGTAAAGGTAAAAATACCACGTTTAATAGTTACTAGGGGCTTATGGGGCTGCTTTGCAGCCCCTTATTTTTTCTCTACACTTTTCACTTTCACATGTCTTTTTTTTTTATTTATTTTCATTTAATTTTCTGTTTTGTCTTGAATCTATTAAAAAGAATTTTAAGTGTTATTATTTTCTCTGAACTGTTTATATTTAAAATGTTTAAAAACAAAACGGAATAGACAAAGTCCAAATAGTAACTAACAGAGGAGGAAAGATTTAAATGCAGTATCCGGAATGCAGCTGTATTCCGGATGCGTTAAGGGGTGGGAAGGAGGGAGGGACGGACCGAGAAACTGAAAAAAGTACGTTAAGTAACGGTAAATATTAAAATAAACTTACCTATATATGGATCCTTGAACTTTAAAGCAATAAGGTCCATCACCCGGAATATGAATTCGATTTGCAGAGAAAGAGGGAAAAGCAACAGCACTATTATAATTTCTGATATGCTTTATGAAATTCGGAGAATATAAAAATAATGATTTCAAATCGGTATTTGTCCGAATACTCGGTAAAGAAATTAAGCCATTTTGGCAGCAGTTATTAAAATGACCATTTGACATTTCACCCTGAAAATGGCGAGCATCACAATGATGACAAATCATATTCATTGATCCGACTGAAAATTGGGTAACAAAATTTTCATCTAAGTTCTGATCATCAATTTTGTACTTCCGAAATGAAGAAATGAAACTTTGATTTTCTATACTAATGATAGAGTTAAGTTCTTGCTTCACTAAACGAAGATGCGAAGAATTCTGGAAAACGCGACCACGTTTTGGAGGACGACCGCCTCGGTTATTGAAAATTTCACTCATAACAACTGTTAAATTTATAAAATTAAAATTATACGTTTAAAAATTATTATTCTTTTAACAAAATCATAACTGAAAAGTTCAATTACTAAATTAAGAAATTACACATTGAAAAGAAAATAACGAATAGCGTAAAACAATATACATATTAATGCACATTGCAAAGGAAATAACTAACAGCGTGAAACGTTCTGATCGGAAATGAGAATGAAAACTTGGAGGTTATTGACTTAATGAGGAAAAATTGGAAATAGGAAAAAGATGGAGCAAATCAGCCAATCATGAAAAAGCGTAAAAAAAACGCGGGAAAAGAAAAATGTAAGTTGTTGGCAGTTGAGTGTTGGAAGTAACCTCACTTAATGATGATTGTTGAATGAAAACAGCTGATAAAAAGACAGCAAACAGTAAAGTAAGATGCGTAGCAACAAAACTTTTCCGAAAAACAAAAAACAAAAAACCCCCACTTCCCCTCATCCAATTTATGAGTTTTTAGGGATTTAAAAATCAGGGACGAACCCCAGAAAATAATTTATAGTTTTCCCGAAGCATTGAGAACAACACCTTTCAAATGAACCAACGCCCCTCGCAATTAGTACAGTGGTTGATTCACAATTTCATTCTATTTTTCAAATTAGATATTAAGATGATCGCTGTTAATCAAGAGTTCACATGGAGCACCTTTATAATGTAGTTGTTTTAACCGTTGTTTTTTCTCAGCGCATTAACGGTGAGAGTCAAATTGTACACATCTAGATTTACTCCGTTGTAACTTTCTTATCTTGCATTATTTTTCATGGAAAAAGATCTTGTATTCTCAAAATCGTGCGCTGTTATATTTCATCCTATATAGGTTGTTCTGTAATATTTTCAAATAATGACATTAACAATAGGTTAATATGAGCAAAGTTGAAGTTTTAACTTCAATATTGAGCCTGAAGGTCTCAATAGTCAAGCTTTGGTCTCACTTAGTGATCAAGAAACCTTAACACCAACCGTAATTTATGCAGTTTGTAATTTGACCATCCGAAAAAAAGGAAGTTCATAATATTTTCAAGAAGTTGCTTCAGTAAAGGTGATTGGCACTCGGCAAAATATACATTGCGCTACTGGCATAGGTACAGGTAAAATATTTATATTCTGTGATACCCATGCAACACGTTAACTCCATACTTGCACATCACTCGTCTGGATCGAGATGCCTATCAGTGGCGTGGCGTGAATTGCGATGTATCGATTGTTTTGCCATTTAAACGTATGTTAAAGAATCGATTATAAAGGTGTTCGCTACGAACACCTTGTTTATCGATCCTTTTCCATAGGTTTAA